GCAGACTGGAGAAGGTAAAACTCCTCACTTACTTTAAAAAAGTCAGTACCAAGCTAGAAAGTCAGTAGCAAATTGCTTTAAACAACTGATTTATTTTTTTTCATTAATGGAAATACGGTAAGATTTAGTTGAAGGTTTAGGTCAAGATGACAAACTATAGGGAGTACTGGGTGTGTATATCTGTACGGTGGGGTGTCTTTCCCCTTTGCAGCTATTTATATCTCTGAGTGAAGGTTAAGGTTAGGAATTTAATAAGACAGCCATTTATTCTGTGGAGACTAACAGTCCTGGGGTTAGGATGTAATAATCATTCTTCTGCTTTAAAAATGGTTCTTTAACAAATAGCAGTAGCTCATTGCAATTTTCAGTTGTACAAAATGACATATTTTCTATGTTACTATCAAAATATTCTGCATAACATTAATTTCTGTGCACTTATTAACATATGTACAGAACAGTGTTTCCCAATAGAAATCAGTATGCTCCTTGCTGATCCTTTTTTGCCCTAGATTTACCAAAACCAAACCAGAAATTAATTATGTTAATAGTATAAAATCTCAGGAGAGATAAAGGATTGAAGGTTTATTTCCCAGCAGCAAATGAATAAAGGAACTCCTTCAAGTTAAAGTCTAGCTGAGACGTAATTTTAACCAACCATGGTGAATCCAGGCGAGCCAGGAATATCACACATTTTTCCGATGCATTATGTTGAGTACACAGAAGCAGAGGAATGTAAACAGACAGAAGGCACATGAAAGGCCCCAATCCATTCTCCATCTGACGGAAGTGCGAATTTCATAATTCTGTCATCAAGAGTCTTTTCATCATTTTCTCTCTCTCAAGTTCACGCCTCAGAGTCTCAGCGCTGTGTAATTAATGCACAAACAGCCAATTATGGGAACAACAATAAGTCTTAGATTTCAATTTAAAATAATTAACATTTTCAAAATACCAAAGGAGGGGAAAAAAAGGTCAGGCTCAATTCAGTGAAAAAGCTGATAACTGATGGCTGATTTAAAAACAAGCACCACTTGATATTTCTGAAGAGCAAACAGAGGCAAGAAAAAGGACATAAAATGATCCACATGGCAAAACAATTTAGGATTTCATCTAACCCCTATTAAAGGCAACTGATTTCAAAGGAAGCTTGACTAAGACTCTAAAAATGAAACAGTTACAGCAAGTGCCATCATGAAATACTGCTGTTACAACCTTCTGCTCCTTGGCATGGTCTGATATTGGGGGACATCTATATATGCTGAATTAACCACAGCCCTGCACATAGCAGAGTGTGGGAGCCAGAGCCTAAAGTCCTTGCTCTCACATACCAATTCACTCCAGAGCACACAGGCTCTGTACTACTGGGAATGTCCTGGATTAGAGATGCCATTTCAGAAACTGTTTGCTGTGTTATTCTGAAAATTAGGCATCTAACGCTTGTAAAACAGTTTGGAGATTTAAACTGCAGTGCGGAGACCTTGCAGCCCGTTCATGGACAAGCAGGTGTAGGATTATCCACCTGTGTTTGAGACATCCTACAGAAGCTAAGTTCAGCACTACAGTTTCAGAATTACTTTTTCACTGGAATGAGAAATTTTTAGATGAGTTAGCAGTGTTGAACAAGTGTGCAGGTGCAAATAGCCAACATCTACAAAAAATAATTAATAACCAGAAATGGGAACTGACTGTGAATCCAAAATTAAAAAAGATTCATTTATTATGATGCCAAAGAAATACTTTTCAACATAAGCCTCAGATTATCTGTGCTCTGGAAGTCCTGAGTATATCCACTCATATATTTGGATTCTGTAAATTATCAGCCTGCAAAATTCAGCTTTTATTAAATTCCAGAATAAGAAGCTAGCATGCAAAAAACCAATAGGATGAAAGAGCAGAAAACTGAAAACAGTCTGTCTGTGGAAAGATGGATAGGTTGCTGTTTCTCTGAGAAACTACAAGAAAGACCACTGTAGCTTGAAATCATTAAAAAAAAAAAAAAAAAAAAAAAAAAAGGAGGGGGAGAAGAAAGAAAACAAATGCCTGTTTTTCATTTAGAAGAACAGACATTTCTCAACCTCAGCTTTCCCCCACGGACATTTAATTTCAAAAAACAAATTGCAACAGCAATTATTAAAACAAAACCTTTGTGGTTCAGACAAAATGACTTGCCTGAGCAAAATCTGCACAACCCTTTCTCTCCAGGCCATAAGCCATAGAAATGGCTGCTGGCTGCAGCAGCTGATTAAGGTAGGTTTTTTTTTTTCTCAGAGAAGATATGAGTTACAGGTATTTCTTTACATAACCCACAAGCAGCAATCTTTCACTATGGAAGGAAATGACACGTCATGGTAAATATGACAGAAAAAGGGAAATCAAGCTGATTCCTAATGCAGAGAGCATCACAGTATTTCTGGGAAGGAACTTCACAATACCTGTCTGCCAGCGAAATCGGTTTATGCGACGTATATACTGTCTGGACCGTAGGAGTGGGTACAGTCTCTGCCAAGGACCTCAGCACAGGCGATGGAGTTACCAGTGTTATCTTAGGTGATGACTGCACTGCACAGCACTGCATTTTGCTGTCTGCAAATTCTGCCTACAAAAAAAAAAAAGGAAAATACACACACACAAAGGAAAAAGGTGTAGATTAGCTTCTACTGGTCTTGCTACCCTTCACTATCCAGTTCGTTGCCAAAGAGTAACAACAACTAATAAAGAGAACAAATGAGAGGCTGTACTGTAGCTATAACTTCTCAATGAGGTCTCTGTAGATACTGAACAGTCACTTTTGATGCCTGAGGGACAAGTCTGATTGCAACATGCACTATGTGAGATAACACTGCACGCATGAGACTGGCAGCATTCAGGTAAAAGACATAATCAGTTTGGAGAATGACACTTATCATTATTACATTTTCCCTAAAAATAATGCAAAATGCTGACAACACGAGATTTCTGGAATATTCTTCAGAAGTCCTATATAGTTTGCTGGTAGGTCCTCTGACTACTCTATGTTTTGTTAACAGCCAGGAGTCTGGGTTTTTAGGAGTCTGGGTTTCCAAGTCTCCATCCCTTTCCCACATTAGCTAACTGGAACATGCCTCAACAGATGTTCTTGCAGTATCCAGTGACAGGCGATGTTAAAGCAATATTGGAAGTGCTAATTTAAGACAAACAGCAAGCAACCATCTCCTGTCTTTCAGATGAGGCATATCAGTGCACCAATATTACAGCAAAGACTGGGCTACTTTAAAAACAACAGGGGAGGATCCCTAAAAATCAAACAGCCCTATCTTGTTTTTTGGCGTGGACTATTTCTCTTGCCAAACCACAGCAGTTAGTGCCTACGGTGCATGTATGACCCTGAACTGGGAAGAAAACTGAGGAACTGCAGTTAGTGTGTCAGGATCATTAGAACATGCTCCTAGTGGTATCAGCTGCATTTCTTCCTTGACAACCTTTTCTTCTGAACCTGGCTCAGACTCTAAGGCAGGGAGAAAGGAAAGTCACCATCGTAAGCAAGCAGCTTTTAATTGTTTCTCAAACTCTGCAAGACTCACAGGAGCAATGTGAAACACAAATAGTTTAAACAGTATAATTATTTGAGCCCAGGAAGGAATGGCTGTGTTAGGTTGCTTGATCATAGTCATTTTTAATGTATCTAAACACATCTGATATGCTCCAAAATAACCTCTGAACTAAAAAGAATTTCATTAATTCCACAAAATTAGTAATATGGAAAGTGTAAAACCAACTAAAGAGACTCTCCTTCCAACTCTGGCCAATTATGTGTGTAAATAATGGCTAACACAACATGTTCAGAATTCTCTGTAGTTTGGCTTTTAAAACTCATTCTTACAAGTTGCCAAGATATGAAATTTGATGTTCCTCATACAGGATTCCTGTGCTCTGAGGACTGACAAATCTTACTTTACAGCATGGAAAGAAGGCATCACCGTGATGCTGATGTAAATTCTCCCAGCCTTACTGAAATCAGCAGAGTGATGATAAATTACACTTATTGAAGAATTATCTGGAGTCCTATAGTGTGTTTGCTCTGTATAATTGTTTTACAGCATCATTTTATGTGTATCTGCTTGCACAGTATACTTAAGCCAAATATTTACCGGTTCTAACAGATATAATTTAATTTATTTAAATCTGTGTGAGTTAAACCATCCTGAGAAAGTGACCATCATGCCTGCCATTTCTGTATAGAAACCACTGAAATTCAGAGGGTTCCTGGCATGAAGCTTATATTTATACATACCAGGTAACCAAGTTCTCTAATTTTTCCTCTGATAAAATCAACACAACTGCATATACACCACCAAATTAGAAGCCATACACGAGATGTAAATGTCTAAATGTCACTATCCATAATTCCTTTCACACTCAATAACATTTCAATGTTTTCTTCCAAGCAAAAAATAAATAAATTTAAAAAAGTGAAGGGGAAGCAAGGAAAGGAAAAAGAAAAAAAAAAAAAAAAAGAAAACAAACAAGGAAAAAGATCAACAAATGTTACCATCTGAGTTTGTGTGTGACTGGTGACTGTTCTGCCTGCAAGTCCTATCACTGATTTAAACTCTTCCCTTCCAGCTCCCATCTGTGATGTAACTATCTTCAGGCCCTCGGCAGAGCCCATGCATCAGGATGAACTGAAACTGCTGGGGAGAAGCACATCTCTTTGGGCTGTGATGGAAGGCCACAAAACACAGGACCAAAGCCCAGTTAACCTTACTAATTTATTTTCCCATCTTTATGCAGTCCTCTGGGTAGCTGCTTGTTTGTCACAGATATTTGTGTATAACTGACAGGAACGTTTGGGATCATATGATGGATCACACATCATTAGGTTTTTATTGTAATGGTGTTTTAAATATTTGTGATCTGGATTCTGCCCTCCAACATGCCCAGGGAAATGGAAATCTATGGGGAGAAGATGGAATTTCAGAAAGATTAGCTTGAATTTTACTTTGCTTCTTCTCTCCCAACAGAACAAAACAACAATTTTAACATTTGAATTTGGGATCTTCTGCAGTATGGAAATTTCTGTGTGTAAGTATATTGGTGTATCTTCTGTTTACATTTTACAGTTCTGTCCCCCCGCAATGATGAAAGAATATGTTATATAACCCACCTAAATTTTGTTTTCATCATAACTGTCAGAGACAATAATGAAAAATAATGTCCTGACAATCATTACTAAATAGTGGGAAGAGTATTTTGGAGGCACATCTTTTTTCCTTAGATAAAGTACTATTATGAAAGACACAAGCACTGTAATTTTGAGTTAGACTTTATCACAATTGTACTGTCTGGACTTGGCTGACCTAATGAAATGTTGCTGTGACATATTCCTGTGCACTTTTGAATGCATTTAATTAGAGCTCAGCAGTGCCACTTATACAGCTTGGGGAGCCTAACTAACTCTGGCTTTAAAATCCTTACATGGAAAAAAACACATTTACATAAAAGGCTGTGATCAGGTTTATTGTGAAAGAAATGCCTCTTTAAATCATTAAATGTGGACAGAACCTGCACACGACCCGACAGTGAATGAAGTTACTTATCTCTGATTATATGCCAGATATAGATTGCTGCAATCAGTAAAAGTTAAGGTAAAAGTCTGAAATGCTTCATTTTGCAAACATAATTTAAAAACTTAAGTCATTTTACTGGGGTTTATAAGCAGAGAGTGTTTCTTATAGAGTAGTTAATTTTGTCATACATATTACAGAATTTTGTCATATGTATTACAGTCCTACCATTAAAGTAGGACTTAGATTGTACTCACTTTTTAAATGGTCAAATAATTGGTTTCTGGTTTTATGCTGTTTACCTTACCAAAATCTCTAAGTCACATCTTCTGTGAAAGTTTAACAAGAATCAAATTCAATACTGGATTCAAGTTATTAAGTAAACATGGGAGTTTATACAAGGATACCATTGTAGTCATCAACACACTAACTATAATTCTTCCTTAAAATTCAGATGTAAATTCAATGAAAATCAGGGCCCTCTTTGTGATGGCACAGTGGGCAGTTTCAGGCAGGAGGCCATGCAATTGCTAGACAGAGGACTGAGTCTTCCCATTCCCTTACTGCTCCTTGGAAAGATGCTGTGGAGCTTCACAAGTGTCCTCTACAGTCCTGAACACCGCATTTTGGGACCAACTTCATTAGTTGTGAGCCTTGACCTTTAACACTTAGTCCTCTGTCTAATAAGCAGCAATGTCTGAATGCAGGCAACATTTTGTATAATGGGAATATTTAACTGATTCATAATCCAATTTTACTTGGAATTTATCTTTTTTATTTTTGAGGACTACTTAGCGCATAGATTTCTGACACTTAAAAAATCAGTTGGAATTGTGTTAAAACACAGTTTTTTTAGTTGCAGGTTCTACTTACAGAAAACTGTGGTACTGTTGTAAAAGGATCGAAAAAAGGATTAGATGTATCAGCAGGGAATGTCTTTATCTTTAAAAAAGATAAAGAAAAAGATGTTACTTTCAGAGCATAAAAATGCAAAAGAAAAGAAAAAAAGCAGCAAAGCATTGCAACTACAGTGACATATCCAACAAATCAGAGCAGTTCAGCAGTGCTTGGACTAGACCAAAAAAGACCCTTCCAAAAATGCATACAGAAACCTGATGATGAATAATCAAAGCATAAATACAAAAACTTGATAAATTAATTTTACCACGTAATTAAATCTGTTGTGCAAATACGGAGCTGATTGCATACAATATATCTTCTAATTCTGTCAACAGCCATTGGATTATTATCTGCTTCCTTCAGCCAGCATTATGTTTTAAAATATGCAATATGAAGTGCAGGAGCAAAATCTGCAGTAGATGGCTAAAGAACTTGTGCTTTACATATTTTAGACTTCCAAATTTTCACTTACACTGCTGTTGCCAAACACAAACTATCACACAAGGTGGGATTGAAAGAAAATCATATATAAAAAAATCACTGGGGACAGCTGTTTGTTTCAGGAAGCTACAAGGCCCTGTGTTAAAAGGAGGAGGGCTGTGGATAAAGGATGACCTTTGGAGGTGTTTTTGAAAAGTGCATGGAGAAACAGAGGCAAGAGACCAAGACATCCATTTGCCGAGAAGTGTGAGAGCTCCCAGGGCTTTGTCCATGAGGATATAGTGTGTGGTGTGACCAGACCCTGCTGGAAGTCACTTCTGCCCTTAAAGTAGTTTCAAACATCAGCTGAAATTAAAAAGGTATTAAAAGCAGCAACAATCTCTGTCCCATTTCACTGTGAATGCTGTTTCTCATGATTTTCCTCTTTAGAACGCAGACATTATCCATTCATTCAAAGGGAGGACAAACTAGCAAATAAAGGCAACAGTTTTGAACTGCACTTCACTCTTTCCCTTTGGAAAACCACATTTTTCACTGTAAAGATGTATTTTTCACTTTATTTTAGAAACTGCTGTGCATTGGTTTTACTGCATTTCTTCAACCATAATTTATTAACTACAGCCATACAACTGTTGTTTAATAATGAGGAAAGCTACCCTGAGGGCCCTGAGCCCCTGTAGGCCAAAAGAAAACCTGAAATTATGACATCAAGTATAATTAAGTAAATGTATAGTGTTTATTTTGTAAGTAAAATAACAGAGATGTTGGCTTATATGGGTACCAAGGGAAATTAACAACCATCTGTGGGCCCACTTCTGCAAACGTGGAATTAAGCTTAGCATTAATTGTCAGGCTTCTTACACACAAGGAGTATGGATAGCAAAGATACAGTTGAGCCAGTAAATAACCTTTTAACAGAATAAAGGTATTTGTAAGTCATTGACACAGGCGCAAATGAACAAACAACTATGTGAGAGAGAAATTATTTTAAATCACAGTTTTCTACGCAAACATATTAAAGAAAACTTCACAGTCCTTTTATAGTCCTATATTCATGCCTGTTAGCAAAGTGTATGCATGTGTACTGTATTGCTGATTGAACCTACTTGTTGTATTGATGCAATAGCTCCTCACAAGTTTGTTATGTTATGTTACACCCAGAGCAAAATCTGTCAACAGCTGTAGCATGTCTCTCTCCTTTGAGAGACAGTAAATACCCATGAGCTCAGGCTGACATTCTCAGGTTATTAAGGGTTTACAATATGATGTTACAGTACTAAGTACAAGTGTACTCACTCAGTTACAAATAAAATCTTTGAGCCAAAGGCAAACAGGGATGGGAAACTGGTTGCTCATGTGCACTATGAGTTTGATATTCTACAGCTGAAATTATTATTTCGCTGGCTAGTCTCACTAAGGAGATGAAGCACAGTTACTAAATGCAGGAAAGAAAAATTATGCAGAATAATACTCAAGAGTCCACAGAGATTTGGGACTAGAGGCGCATAACAGGAGTCAGACATGATTGCGTGCTGTGACACACAGCCATGCAGAATACTCTCTGTAAAATCAGCACTGCAATCTGTGGATATGCACGAGGCCAGCCTACGTATCAAAACTTGAAAAGAAACTGTTAATCTGGTTTAGTTTTTTCAGTGTGAGTCCCTCTCTCAGGGAGCCGTGCTCATTTAATCTTTGGAATAAAATGATTTTGACAAATGAAAAGCTCGCTGTGTTCTAAACCCATCAATTTCCAGCCTTTTAGAGAAACTGAAAACAGATATTTGGGAACAGAGGGGGAATAAACTCGTTCAATTTAAGAGTGACAAACAGAAAACATCCTGCTCAGCCTTTAGAATTTATTCTTTCTTCCTCTCATCCCTTTTTCCCCTCCGACAACAGACCACTGTGACTCAAATGGCACAAGAGAGTTTAGTGGTTTGGCCCAGGCCTTAGTATGATTGTTGCTGCCAGCTTCCATAGGCAAGGCAGAGAGACAACACTGTTGTTGCCTCCTCAACATTGGCAAGAGGTTCTTAACTATTGATGGCTTGGCTCTTCTGAGTAGGAAGTAGGTACAACATCCTCACCCATACCGGAGCAAAAAAGAACATTCCAGAACACTTTTCAGACAGACGATATGCAGGATGGGGAGACAGTAGTGAGAAAAGCACCTGTTAAGTAATTGGTTTATGTGAAACTTTATTTGGAAATCTGAAAGGTCTTTTCACCTAGGAATATACTTTGGCCTAACTATGCTGCATGTCCACCATGGCTCAGCAGTGTGCTGACAACAGTAGCAGTTGCCAGCCTCTGGGAGGCAGAAGAAAACCCTGTGATTCCCACCCCACCACACAAGGAAAGCAGTGTCACATGTGAGTCTCTTCCTAACCCTTGCACTGGGGCTGAGTTTATTGAATGAAATCAAAACTCTCCAAGTAGCTCAGAAAGCAAAACAACTCCCTGACCAGAACTTAAATGTTATGCATTCTGCACACAGTACATAACCTCTCTTCCTGTCCTAGGAGGAACACATACCATACCTCTAAATATCTCCTAACTCACATGGCAGAAGCAGACCCTTACATTTTCCAGGGTGCTTTCTTCTCCTTCTCTTGCAGCATCAGTTAAAAGATGCCACCTGGAAACTGAGAAAGGAAGAAGAGCAGAGCCAACTCCACCACCTGCTGCAAATCTGCAGTTCCTCCAGCTTCTGGAGACCTTCAGCAGCTTCCAGGCTTTACCCTGGGATGGCACACACAGAGGGAAAAGGAAGAGGGAAGTGGAGGTGGGCAGTTCTGTGCAGACCACTGTTCTGGGCAGACCACTCTCATGAAACTGAACTGTAGCTTCTCATGCTAGCAAAACACAGTAGCTGCTAGTGTATGGAAAAGAAGCTGAAATCTGCTGTCTGCTTTGGTGTGAAAGAAAACAAGTAACATCTCTGAAGTTTACAGCTGGGCACAACTCCTATCATGGTAGATGGAGCAGCAATTGTGTCTGCATTGCAGAGCTGCTCAGAAGAGCATGTTCTGCTACAGCCAGGCTCTTCCACTGGAGCAAAAGGGGCTACAGAAATATGATGAGCAACAAGAGATTAGAGCTGTGCTCTTGATAACAGCACAGACAGGCTTTTAAGTATAAAACTTGACTGCAAGCACACTTGCTCTCTCTGCAGGAGTGAAAACAGTCTTGCAGCCAAAGTCACAACCATAAAACAACCTTTAAGGCAGGTCCCATAAGTAACTGTCAGGTTGCAGGGGCATGGCATGAAAGGGGAGTGAAGGCATGTGGCGTTCCAGTAGCATCTCACATGCTGAGGGCTTGTTTCACAACCTCAAATGCCCTTTGCTTGAAAGGTCAGGGTGCATTACCATAGCAGAACTACTTTGGACAAGTAGCTCCTTGTCTGGAATATTTAGCTTGGCAAGCTGAGAATTTACTAAGCTTACAAAAACCAGTTGATTCTTAACAAAAAGAAAGAAAGAAAAAAAGAAAAGAATAATACAAAAAGGATCAGAATAGTCTCAGGGAAAATCCAGTGGTCAAGTAATCTTCAAGGAGAAAAATCTGAAATTCAGTCAAATGTAACAGTCACATTGATTTTGTGGAAAAATGAGTGAAATTTTATTCCGCTGTGCATAATTTACTGCTAGTACTCACAGATTCTTGTTGCATTATTAGCTGTCCATTGAAGTATTATATTTTGGAGGTATCTTTGCCACAAAGAATTGACCACACTGATTTTCCTTGATATTTATACTGCAAGGAAAAATGAAGAAGCGTGAAGAAAGAAAAAGGACAAAAAGGCAAGAACCTTCCCCTTTTCTTTGCATTTGTGCAAAGAGTTCTTCTGGATGGAATTTAAAATCTCAGTAAAAACAAATGCTTTCCTGAAACACCTTGTAGATGAGTTAGGAGAAAAAATGTAACTTTCTCATAAAAGCAAATGGAAGTGGAAGCAGACAAAGAAAAAATACTTTTGTCAAGTTAATTGATATAAAACCAGCTATTTTGGTATCTCTATCAAAAGGGAATATTACAAATGCCCTTGCTGTGGCAAAAAAAAAATACTACTTTTGGGAGAAGTGAGCTTAATATGTTCCCTTATACTTGGAATAGTGTATTCACTGCCCTGGCACAACTTTCTTTCCTTTCACAAAGCTCCAGTAACATTTTCTGCAGCTGACCCTTCAATTCCATCCCCTGCACCTTGACTGGAGGCATTTATAACATGGTGGTGAAAATGTGTGATCTCAGTGGGTTTGCACTGTCACTTTGTTTACTGGCCAGATGGAAGACAAACTTCAGGCCAAACACTCCAATAGATTCCTGTGCATAGCAGCAAGCAGAGGCAGAGCTACTAACACCTAAAGGGGTGTCATAAATAAGACCCTCAGTATACACATATAGCCAGAGGAATATTCTGTGGTGCTTTATTTAAAAATACATGGTGTAAAATGAATACCATCACATCTATACAGCACAGAGACTTGTTTCTGCTCATCAAATTAGAAAAGGACATCAGCAAAAATTCATTGCACTAGTATTTCCCAGTCCTGACATTTAAGGTGACTTTAAAAATACCAGATAACCATTAGGCCTGTTTTCCAAAACCAGTGTTATTATTCTGGACTCCACAATTGTCCAGTAAAGCTCCTTGCCTGCTGTCATACCATTTCAGTGTCTGAAATGAATAATGAGGCAGAAAATGTAAAACCAAAGAGCTTCCGGTATTTTTCACCATGCAACACCTCTATGGACAAAAAAATTCTTTTAAGTGGTAGCAGTTCCAGGCTCAAATGATCAAACACTTGGATCATGTCAACCTCAGTTCATGTCCTTCGTATGTGGCAACATAACCTGCTTGACAGGTAGTCAGGCATAATCACTGCCAGGATGCACAGGACAAAAAATCAGACCAAACCAGTGCAGTCCAGCAAACTTGCAACAGGACAGAAACTTAAATCAGCGATTCTATTGGATAATCATTCTTGGAAAAGGCTGTGTAAACGAAATGTCCTGTTTGTACCATACTTAGTGCAAATCCACACATGTTGAATCACAGGCCACCTTCTTTTCATGGCATGCAGGATTTCTTCTGGTTGTTGAAATGATATCCAGGGGTCAGTGTCAGCAGACAGATTTTGTTGACACACATTAAAGAGGGCACTTCAGCAGAAATGTACTATTGAAAACACTCTGAGGCACCAAAAGTGAAGTTTCTGAAGAGGATAGATTTCTGTGCAAGCCGCTAAGCCAGGGAGGGAGACACTACATGTTCAGAACCTCCCTGCCTACTGTCACTTCCTCTGAGGAGATAACACCAGGAAGCCTCCCTCATAGCTCCATCTGGTCTTTGGGTCTCCCTCGCTCATCTTGCAAAAAACTAGCAGAGACAGGAGTGGAAGGAAATATTTCCAAGAACGTTCATTGATTCCTAACAACCAACATAAGTGAATCCAACTGTTTGACTCATCTGACTCGGTGTCCGTTTCCACAGGACTGCTGTACTGTACCCCATGGGTACCACTCAATTCATCTTGGTAAACTGAGAAAACTCCCCTTTGGCAGTCACATGCATCTCATGGTATATTTGTTGAGTTCTCTTGGGGTCCCCTCAAATGGTGAACTTTCCATTCCACTGCTCACTGATGTACACCAGCCCTTCTCTGGGCCTTGCTGTAGGATGAGTCCATCTTTCCTGAATGTGATCTAGCAGCACACACCACGTTCTTGATGTCTCACCAGCTGCTTGTACAACAGGGCTAATACTTTACTCTCCTTCAGGTATTTTCCTCCCTCTTAGAGGGACTTTGTAGAATCCTTCATAACACCGAGGCATTGTCTGGAGGTGGCTGCGTGGCTCTTGACTGTGCTCCAGTGACTTCTGTCTCCCAAAGTCCCATCAAGGGACTTCATGGGAGTCGTGTACTAGGTTCAGCCTCTGCTAAAGCTTGGCTTTGCTGCAGTTACAGCATTTCACAGATATTTAATGCATAGTAGTTTGTGGCTACACTATAAACTATACACTATTTCCAAGATGGTCTACCTAAATTGCAGTAAAGATGCCTTGGATAAAATCCTGAATCTTCATGTCAACTTTTGTACCAATTTGCGAGGGCAGCCCTACAAATTTTGTTGGTGCTAGTATTTTTGTTATGCTACTTTTGGAGATCAAGTAGTCCGTAGATTTTCACTCTAGGGATTGTAATTATGGGTTGTTAGCAAAGGGATTTCAGAGGTACTGGGAGAGGATGGGGGACGATGGTAATAGTGTTATTAAATCAGTCCAGCATCTGTACAGCATATTGGAAGGAAATGTATGTCCTGGATCATTTTTACAACATAACTTTGCCTTGAGAATATTTTTGAGAAGATATTCTTCAAAAGGACACAGAATAAGAACAATTCAGATGTGACAAAAACAAGACACAGTCCATTCTCTCACGGTCTTCAGGACTTTCAGTACCCTTTTACTGATGCTGTGAAGGGGAGCAAGCAGAACTTGACCTCAGCATAGGCTGTCAGCCTAATCACCATCCCATGAGGAAAATGTGGCAGGGCAAAATGATGTCACAGTCTTGGTGTGTTGGCTAAAATGCAGAACTAAAGATTGCAGCACTTGCTTGGTCTTTGCTTAAAACACAGAAATGAAGCAAACAAAAAGCAGTAGGTATATCCACTGGGTATGGTTGCTCTCCAACAGTTGCTGCACAGTAAGTTAGTTGCATTGCTAGGACAGCTAATGCAAAGTTACCTTTTTTGCCCCTTGGCCTTTACCAATGAAATCAATAGTGATCCCGTGGCAGGTGCCTAGATTGCGTGCACAGCCAACAAAATCAAATGGCATCTCTGCAGATGGAGGCTGTTGTCACAGAAGAAAGTCACTAAAGATGGATAACATGAAGAGGAGGAAATGAGTATTGTAATTCCTGCCAGTTGAGAGTGCCCCAGGTAAGCCATATATTTCCCAATCTCATTGCCAGCAAGCAGACTGTATATGTATTTTGTACCAGATGGAAACTTACCACTAGCCACACCTGATTA